CATAGCTTAACAGTACACAACATACTTTAAAAACCATAATATCAATGGAGAGAGCCTAAATGAGCTACTTCAAGCTCAAACACAATAGAGAACATAAAATAATGATAATAATAATAATAACAACTAAGAGCTGATTAAGGATAAAGCTCTATGAGAGCTCTAGTGCCCAGCACAGGGTGTATCTTATAGTTGACGAAGCCAGCATCGAAGAAGAGCTTAGCCCATTCCTCTTCATTTCTCTCCAGACCACTAACAACCACCATCATTTCTAGATCCCAAAGCAGCTGCGTTTCAATTGACTCCTCATCTATATTTTGGATTCCTCTCACCATGTCTATCAGTATCACCTTCCCAGCTCCATGTTGTTCATTACCAGTCATAACTGCCTTTTTGCATTGCGTAAGTATTTTCGCGCAGTTTTCATCACTCCAGTCATGCAGTATCCACTGTTTGTCGTTTTCCATAAGAATTCAGATATATAGCCAGTAAGAATTTACACCTTTCAATCTAAAGGAGTAGACTTTAAAAATTGGTCTATGGTACCTCTATATGCACCATTTTTCAAATTTTCGTAATAAAATTAAGCATTTGGTAATACGTTACGGATGAAAATGAGGTGATCCAAAAATAAAAGATATATATGTGTGTGTGTGCTTTTCATATCTTGTTAATTAGTACAAGGAAACTACTAAAATTTACCTTCAGTAAAATTGCATCTGCAGGAGGAACTGCCTCAAACATATCCCCTCCTACGTACTTCAATTTTTTGTTGCCTTGCAAGTCGGAAACCACATGGGGGAGATCAAACACGGTGCAGTCCATATGGGGAAATGCTTCAGAAATGGCCTTGGCCATACTTCCTAAGCCTCCCCCAACATCCACCAATGAATTCAGCCCCTCAAAGATGCCTTTACATTTGCTCACAACCACCTTACTAGCCAGTCTGCTATCACTAGCCATGGCATCATTAAAGAGCTTGTTGAGTCTTGGATCTTGGCCAGCATATTCCCAAAGTGTCTTTTCATGGGCAACACTAAATGCATTGAGATCGTCATTTTGGAACCAAGTGCCCAAGCAATCCCATGGTTTTGTCAGGACTGGATCAAGCAACATTAGTAAAATAGGTCTCATATTCAAGGGGTTATCCTTGAGGAGGAGACGAGTGGATCGGGTAAGGGAATAGGCTTCTTGATTGTTAATGTGATTAAGATTTTGGAGGGAAAAGAAACCAGAGTGAACGAGAATACGCATAAGGCGATAGACATATCGAGTTTTTGATGGGTGGATTGGTAGAGCAGAAACAAGTTCAGAGAGGGTCATGGGTTTCCCATGTTTTTGGATCACATCTGGTATGCCTAGTTGAACTGCACATTTCAAGGTCATGGAGTTTATGAAGTTGAAAATATGATTCCATACATGATTTTGAGCTTCAAGTAGGTCACTTGCACTTTCCTCATTAATCAACGCCATTGATTTTAAGTAGAATACTAATGTTGTAATACCTCAAGAGACGATTACGATCTACATATATATAGGAGTGAAACTTACTACAGTGCCATAGGAGATGGCTAAATTTCTTTTTAAGACACCATAAAATCCAATAGTTTAAAATTTTATATTAAAATAATTTCTTTGTAGTAGTCTTTTTAGGACCTTAACCAATAATTTGAAATTTTATATTAATATAATTGAAATTCACTACAAAGAAAACATGGATATTTATATCAAAAATTTACTATAAAAATTTATGTGTCACATAAATCAGTAACGGATTATCAAACAGTTTATGAAATTTATATTCTTTTATTATTAATAATTTTGGGATGTATTGCAATGGAAGTATTTTTTTTTATTGATTTTAGGATGCATAAGAAATTATAATTGTGATGGAAAATCTTTCATTAGTAAAGAAAAAAGTCTTTACAAATTATCGTTTTTCTTTTCCTTTTTTTTTTTTTTTTGGCTTTCTTTTTTAAGTTTCCTTTTGTCTTTTCAAATTTCACATGCATGTTTTTCTCAATCATAAAGGCTTTTATATAATTTTCAGGTTCACCACATCTAAATTATCGATCTTTGGCAATATTAATGAACCAATAGTAGTGTTTTGTATTCAAAGCAATCTAGATAGAAGGGAGTGCCATGTGACAGCTATAGTGCTGATCCAATTTTAAACAATAATAGTGATTTTCTTACAAGAATATTGGAACCTGACAATGATTGCTTCCATTTGGTTATTGTTTATTGGCTACCCCGCGCAATTTGCCCTTCCAGTGAACGACATTTGTTATTATTATTATTTCGGTTCCGCCAATGTTAAACAAGCCAAATAAAAACCGCTAGTTACTATTTTGGATATTGACAAGATATGATCAAAAGAAGCTTGGGGCAACCGATACGGAAAGCAAATCTTTTCGTATCCTCCTTTCTTTCCCTATATATATATATATATATACACATTATTCGCGTGTCCCGCGTTTTCATTAGGTTGTATTTATCTTTTCCAACTATTGAACTTTTGGATTTATTTTCATTTTATTTTAATGTTTTACATCATATTGATTAAGTAACTAAATATTGTTTTTTTTTATGATAATAGATAAAAAAAAAACAGGTTTAAAAAAATGTGGATATGACGTATGAGCTTTCTTTCCTTTCTTTTTCATATAGGATTTTATAATGGATATATAATAAAATAAAATGAGTTATTAAATTATTATCTATGTAAATAGATATCTATCACTTTTTTTAATAACATTTATCATTTAATTAAATATTATTCACTTAATAGTAATTGATATCTAACATCATACAGAGCAGAGTTAATTTATGATATGTGATAATTTTTATTTTTTTTAATAATAAATAATCATAAATGTCTTTTAGTTCGATATACATCTAAAAAAATTCTTGGATAATTGAAACCTGTATTAATTAGTTCAAATCTATAATTTTTTTGAAATGTCACATATGTCAAACAATAAAAATGACATATGCATTCCCAAGTCTTCGGTTTTCATTTATTTAAAAATATAATTTAGTTTAATATAATGTTTAATAATCTAAGGAAATGAACATAAACATATATAACAACACACTAATTAAGTTGTCGTGAAAAGTGAAAACCAACAATAATTAGCACAAATAGTAAAGATTTGATTGAAGACATAGGAAAGTCTTGAATTTAAATATTTCTTTTAGATAATTTGTAAAAATATTCTGGTAGAATAAAAAAAAAAAAAAAAAAAAAGATGTACTATCACGGAACAAAGGGACCTACAAAAATCTATAGAATGCAAATAGATTTTTGTAGGTCCCTTTGTTCCGTGGCAATATATACCAAGTTGACGCTTTTCATCTCGCCGCCTGAGACTCATGTTAAATCATAATCTTTTCTAGATATGGAAAGATAAGTGTAACATACATGTGGAAAGATAGGTGGGACATCTCGCCTCCACTCAATAACTTATTGGTACTTAACTCATTAAAAAGTTGACTGTGTTGAGAGACCAGTCTTTTTTTTTAACCGAACATTACAGGGAAGTAAGTTTAATTGACCAATTCAAGAGAAACACTGTTTGACACCTGTATATGTTACTCAAAAATTCGGACTCTACCTACCATCATACAAGATGCATCTTTATGATCAAATATGATCTAATCAGATATTTGTTCTCAAGGCCGGTTCTCTTGAGAAGAATAGTCAGATGGCTACTACTTTTGGTTGAGTTTGATTTAAATGTCTTGCCCCTTAAAGCCATAAGTCACAAACAACGATAGACCTTCTTGCTTAATCTCCTTATGCTAAATATGAAGTTATTTCTCATGACATCCCATTCAAATTTCATGAGAAATCTAAGAAATCTACGTTGGTAGCATCTACCGACTGAGAATGGTTATTGCAATTTTATAACTCTTCAACTGCCACTATCACATATGAAATCTTATGGAGCACCTAAAAACCATTGCAAAATAATATAAAACCGTTATATTACCTCTAATGCAATGGTTTTTTAGTTGTTACATCTAACTGGCATTATAATAGATTAATACAGTAATTTTCATAAACAATAGCAAAGGAATACATTTCGTTGCATAATTCCTCTAGATTGCAACTGTTTCCTTGTTACTTTAGACAATAGCTTAGAAAATGATATAGCATCGGTTTAAATCAAAATGTATATAGCGAGTTCTTATAATATGCAACGAGTTATTCACATGTGTTATGCAATGATTTAAATCATCCAATGCAACATTTATATAATATATTATGGAGCAATGATCTTTTATTATATTATGTAGCAGTTTGGTTGTTTTAATGCAATGGTTTTTCTATATAAAAATTAACCCTTTTTATCTATAATGCAACGATTTATCATATTAAAGCAACTATTTATAAAACTATTTAATAAAATAATTTGTAATAGTATTGCAATTGATTTTTTTTCCCAAGTGCAATAGACTTTTAATCAAATGCAATGATTATGATGTATTTGTAATAATTTTTTAAAAATAATTTCAAATATTAATTAATAACGAGAAAAGTAATAATCTAAGCAGCTTTTTAACATAATTGTAAAAATTAAGTAATCGATTACAAGAAAAATAATAATCTAAATATCTTAAAAAATATTAAAAGACACAACAAAATATCAATATTTGAAAAAAAAAAAAAAAAAGAAGTTAAAAAGTTCCTAGTAGAAAAATTTAGTAGTTGATTTCCAAATTCAAGTAATTTATAACACTAGGCAACCTGCAATTTTAAGGGGGAAAAAAAAGATTTACTAAAAGAATCTATGGAAGTAAGCTAGCAATCTTAAATATATACAATTCTTGGGGGTACATCCCTTTTGTAATTGATATTTGCTGCTACAATGAAGAAACAATAAAACAAATATTGTATCATGATGCTACTAGCCAGCAAGCAAATATTAAGTGGCTTATTACTAGTATATAATGCCTTGAATAATCATCAAATATCTTTCAAGACGAAAGTAACTTCATCAACTTGAATGGACTACCAAGAGCTCTAGCCTGCCTGTCCATTCCTTACCTTGTTCCAATGTAGTTGGCTTCTCAATTACTGCCCCATCAACACAAAGCATCTGTTTGCACTCTTCATCTCCAAAATTTAACAGGGACTTGGATTTGTTCTCCTATGGATTCCATACCACTATTTACAAGTAGAGACAAGTGATCATAAGTGGCTTAATCTCTCAATAAATAAATGAAATCTTGAGTTAATTCTTGTACAATATTCTCTCTACCTCCCTTTCTCAATGTTACTAATTTCAATTTTAGAGAAGTGATTGCACAATTAGGTCAAAGTGAAAACAACTAATGTTGTAGCTAATCCAAGAGATATGTTAGGCCTATCAGCATGTGTCTCATGCACACAACCAAATCTTGAAGGTATTTGAGACTAAACCAATTTCTTTAGGACCATGAAAGCGGAAGTTCTTGCAAAATGGAAAAACACAGGCGTATGCATGATGGGAAAGAATAAGACACTCGAACTAACCTCAGCTGAGGGGAACACTGTTTCACCACCCTTTACAACATTTGTAAGATACATGAGTATAGTTGCCAACCGGTGTCCACCACAAGCAATATTAACTTTGTCAACAAAGTAATCATAGTGGGGATCATATTTCTGCCCATGCTCGTATCTCAATACTTGCATGTCTTCCCCATTCTTTGATCAAAAGAAATATAGATCACTGTCATGCCCATTTGTTGAAAATGGAGGGAAAGAGTAGAATCTTAATTATTGCACATGTTACATATTACTACATATGATTAAAAGACAGTTAAGCTGAGCTGTTTATTTTAGGAGTGAGCAATGGTTAAAAATTTCTTGCACACAAATATAACAGAATTAAGCAAACACTATAGAAGCTTCAAGATCTCATAACTCGTGTACCAAGGAAGAACAAGCCATTAAAGTATAAACTACAACCAAATATCAACAGAATTTTTCACGTCATGTTTTTTCTGTCTCTTTACCAGCATTTAATGATTCATGCATTTAAAAGCAAAGCTTTCTTTGGAATTAAGAGTTCAATTTGACAGATCATTTATTCTCATTCTAAATCTGTTTTTTTTTTTTAATAGCACACTTCAAACCTAAACCCCTATGAACTGCTGAACTCCAACCATCTAGCATTACTTGCATCCAAAATATGTTCCAGCATGAATGCCAAGTATCTCCCAAGTCAATGACAATCAATACTAAGATTTTGAATATAAAAAAGATCTTAGAAATTAGATAGCACTAGGCATTGGTCAAACAGCCCTTTTGTCTTTCAAAACTTCTTGGAGTCATCACTTCAATTCACTCATTAAAACTCACATCTTCTCCAATACCTCGACAGATCCACTACATTCTTCTGGCATCATTTTGACCCATTTGGATCCTATAACTAGATTCACTTTTGCAGGACAATTGCTACACCAGAAAATAGAGAGGGATCTCACTCCTTCATTACCAACAGAAAACACAGAGCAGTATCCAATTCATGTCCTAACTATTTAAAATATCATCAAAGACAAAATGGTTTTCACACTATCTCAAAGCAATCTTAACTGTAACATGATTGTATGTGAACAAGAACAATCTTTTGCCTAAACTTGACTAAGCTGGTTCTGGTTACCATACCAACCAATGCAAGCAAAATTAATAGGAAAACAAATATCAAAAATCGAGTGGCCAGCAAATAAATCGAAATCACTCAAATTAAACCTCCAGCACACGGATAACAATAATATCACAAATTCTAAAAAGTTAAATACCAAAAGAATCAATAAATAAAAACCAATCTGCTACTAAAACACACAATTAGCCCTTAATTAAACTAAAGGATTCGTGTTTAATATATGTTTTGTTTTTGTTAATACAGGTTTTAAGTACTCCATACATGAAAAATGGCAACCCCATCCAACATCAACAGGAATAACACAATTCTTTCTTTCTTCCTTTCTTTCCTCATGTAGCTTTTGGCCCGCACTCCACCACTAGAAGAATCAAAAGATTCTTTTGAGGTATAATAAATTAATTTGACATTAATTCATATTTTCAGGTTCTAGCTGACAAATTGAGTGACCTAGAAAGGCCAAAACAAGATCTAAGAAGCCGATGACTATGTCTTGTGCCTCTCTCTAGTACATTTCTTGTTGCTAATGCGACCACAGCTGATTTTTGGAAACCAACATTTGATTGTACTTTCAGGTAGAAGGATGATGATATATAGTAAAGCAAGCTAGCTAAACGTACAACTTCTATCCAATGATCAAGTTACTGATTCCAAACATCTATAGTGTTGTATTAAACCATCCAAGATGGAAGGCAACGATCATAACTTGAACATAGGAAGAAAGATTATATTAGGAGCGACCACTGCATTGTTGTGCTAGCTGTACTAGTCTTGAATGAAAAGCTAAAGAAAACAAAAGAAAAAAGAGAAAAAGGAACTGATCAAGCTTCAAATGGACAGACAATGCTGGGCCAAACAATCGTGACATTTAAAGTGCTATATCCATGGGTTTCCCTAATCAATGCTATTAACGAAGCTAGCAGGTTTTTTCCCTTGAGGTTTACAATCAACCAACTCAAACTTATGAGATGCATCCCTCCGATTTCCATGGTCTTATGGCTATCATTAGCTAGCTTAATTCAGCACTCCTTTTTATGAGATAATTTTTTGAATGAAAAAACAAACTTAATTGCTTATAATTGTTCAAGACCACCATGAGACATTATTGGCAATTAAAGCAGGCCAGCCTAATTCTAAGGGTATCATATTAGTTGCTACCGTGAGCAAGTATTTTTCTCTCAAATTGTCCCGACCACATCACGAAGCTTCAAGGAGGATTCCAATATTAATTACTAACGTAGTGATAAATGATATTTGTGTACCATAAAAGCAATAAAATTTTGTTTGATGGTACAAAAGTTACAAAAATTCAGCCTTCAATCCTCAAATCCTCAAATCCTTTTGCTCAAAAAGCCAAATTTGAATGATAGATTTCTGGACCCATAAAATTAGAAAGAAAAGAAATAATCAGCTAAAACTTCAACATCCATTAACAAACAACACAAATTAAGCAAATCTAAAAGAGAAAATCTAAAAAATATGCAAAAACCCATTTGTGAAAGAGAGAAATTCAATAAAATCAGTTACTCACACTTGAAAGTCAAGTCCTAAAGTAGCAAAAATTCAATAAGGAGAGAAATCCAATACCTATCCCTAAAGAGAGGAATTAGAAGAAAATCACATACAATATCAAGACATAGGGAGAGATTGAAAGAAAATTATATATCTTAAAGAAGATAGAACTTTTGCCCAATTTTGCCCAATCTTTCAATAGAAAACTATGAAATTTTTCCCTAATTAATAGGTACTAAGACTTCAATCTAAACCAATAGTTACTTGATAAATTGAGAATGTGTTTTGAATTTGATAGAGAGAGAGCAAGACAAAGACAGAGATAGAGAAAGAGAGACTAAGAGAGAGAGAGAGAGACATAAGGATGTGTTTTGCTAGAGAGTGAGAGAAAATTAAGATTGTTTAGCAGGGTAATAGTTTTTTCGGGTACTAAAAATTTTAAATGCAACAATTCACAACCGTAGCATAAAAGCCTTTATGTAGCAGTTCTTTAAAACCATTACACATTTAAATCGTATGCAATAGTTTATGCAGCAGTTTATTTAGTTTAGTATGGAAAAACTAATTTTCATTGCAATAATTTTGAACTACTGTAAAATCATTGCCATAAATTCATATTAGCAACAGATTTTGAACCGTTGTTAAAAGACCATTACATAATGTCCAAAATCCAGTAGTGTGCTTATGGTGGTGGTGCTGGCATATTGCTTACTCTGTTATAAGAATTAGTAATTTTTTTATCATTTAAGTTGGATTTTCCTTGTACAAACAGTGAAGCTGAGTATGAAGCTTTGGTCCTAAGCATGATTGCTAAAGACATTATGTATTCAAAGGGACTCAAACCTTACTATCATGTAAGCCAAAACAATGTATGCCTTAAAAGAACCTTCTCTAGCTCTGTATCACTCTACCATTTAGACTTTACTAGTTAGCTTTCCATTATGGAGTTTTGAGCATATGCAGCAGTCATACAATTGCCAAGCTAATGCCTTAGCCACTTTAACATTCATAATATCTATAATTGAATATTGGAAAGGTCAATGAGACGTCACTATATTCAAATTCACCACTTCTAATTCTTTCACAAGGTTTGTTAGCCTTGATGAACCAATAAGCAATTGGCAAGCTTTAATCATCGAGCAATTATCGAGTCTAACAACTAATTCAACCTTATGATCAATGATTATTTGATGATCAAAGATGTCTTTTACCATAAGGGAGTCAAAAGGATACTTGCTATGTGTGCCTTTAAAAATGAAGGAAGACTGAAACTTGAGAAAATCCATGATCATAGTATCGAGAGGAAGGCTTTGCATTCTATAGATGAATTCAAAAGGCTGGATATTACTGGCAACGAACATGTTTGATGCTAATAATCAGCAATGAGACTATCTAAGATGTATCTTCCTTTTAGACCTACATGAGTGCTATTTTATTGGAATGGGGAGATATTGAAGGCATCTCTATATTTACAATATCAATAATCATATTTTGCCAACTAATTACCAACATGTTAAGCCATTGAAATCCAAAGTTCAAAATTTTTTCATCGAAAAAGATGTTTTTCTTCAAAAAATCTATTTCTAAAGGCCTCTTAAAATGTTTATTCATAAGGGAAAGAAAACAAGGTGATGAATGAGGGCATGATGAAGCCTATGGTGAGCATTAAAGGGTAAAAAACTTTGCAAAGTATTGCTAGATTTGAGTTATTATTAGCAAACTGTGAAAAAAGACTCACTTGACTTTGTAAAGAAGTATATCCCCTAGCAGTTACATCCTAATATCATTCATGCTCCTGCTGTTGAGCTTTATAGCATTGTAACCCCTTTTTCATTCCATACATGGACATTTGATCTTATTGGCTTTATCACCTTGCCATTTAAAGAACATATCTAGAGATTTGCTACTATTAAATGTTTTACTAAATAGGTGAAATTTATCCTTTTATGAAAAGCAAAACAACCAAATGTGGCCAAATTTATTGAGGAACACACCATCTATTGTTTTGGTAGCCTTAGGCTGCTTCTCTCTAAAAAAGACATTCCATTTTTCAACTTCTAAGTGAGGCACTTGCTGGCCATGTATGACATTGATCATGTCAAGTCCACACTTTATTATTTATGTCATCACTCTATTTTTACCACCATATAAAATACAAAAAGAAAAAAAAACAGAGAAAAAAAGAGAAAAGAAACAAAATTCACTAGGCTCATATCAGGATTGGGCTAGACATTAGGCATTGGGTTAGGCCTGATTAATAATAAAAGAGAAAATATCAAAATAGGAAAAATTCTTGGTTAACCCTAAAAGCACCTCTATAAATATTATGCGCGTGCGCGCACACACACACATATATACAAGAGAAAAAGAGACAGCCACCTATGAGAAAAAAATGAAAAACCTAGCAGTCTAAAAAACAAAATCTGAAAGGACTATCATACACCTAAAAAGCCAAAGACAATAGTAGAAGTTCATAACACTATTGCTCCTCTCCTAGTCGATGGAATCAGGCATGCAT